GGTTTTACTTTCTAACAACAGTTTGAATTGAGGTGTGATCCGCCTCCTCATTAATTCACATAGAAGTAGCCCATTTCACTGTTGCGAACTATTTATGTTTGAGGCTTTACCCCAGTGTTGCCCCAGATCAAGTATGCAGACATTTGTGCAGTCTAACACAAACCTTTCCCCCCTGGCACATTTTCTGTCTGGCGCTCGCATTGCCTTCATTGTTGTTTTCCTTACAAATAATAACTTTGGACAAAGTAAGTACCTTATTTTCTGTATATCGTGTTGTCGTTTCTACTGTAGCATACCGTATGCATGTATGGAGCATAATGTAGTTACTGTTTTATTCACATGTTTTCAAGAACTGGTGACAAATCATGCATTCCGACTCTTGCATAGGTTGTAATGGACACATATGATGTGTGTAAAATATTTATTTGAAGGTTGTACGGATTATGATGAGCTAATGCTAAGCTATTTGCCAGCTATGTGTGGCGACATGTTTGTTGACATTATACATTGCATTCTGGGTGTCACATAAACATCTGTCAGACCAAAGATGTTATAACAAAATGAGGTGAGTGATGGTTCACTCATCTTTCGAGTAAACTTCTGGAAGTGAATGAAGGGAAGTGAATAATGGTAGACGACACACCCCTTCAACATGCATACTGCAAACAGACCAAACTCATCTTGTCTCCTCTTCTTATCTTTGGTTGACCCGAAAAAACAAACATGGCGGCGCGCACAAACTACCCATCGTCAGATTACGTTCGATTTTTAGAAAAATGTTTTACTCAATAATTTTTTATCAATGGTGAGCTCACCCATGGTGTGATGAATTGTAAATAGTAATTTCTATTAGCGAATTCATGTTATCGTTTCTGTCAGCCGGGAGTTTGCTAAATATGACTGCTTGTGTTAGGTCAATCTTTCGTCAGTTTGCGCTAGGACTAATGTAGCCTACATTCTCCGGTTTAGATGATTGTGTTATGCTGTCGCCACTTCTGTGAATGTCTGAACATTGCATCCAAAAAGAAACTGGTCACATTCAGGACATAACGTTGTAAGGACTGTGTTTGTGCAAAATGTTTCTGTGAAAGAAACAGTGTTGCCAGCTCAAACGCTGACTGTTACGTCAATCGAAACTGGATGTTCTAAATAAGCGTTTTAATCACACCGGTTTGAGCTTACGCAAGGGTTAAATTAAATTTGTATACTTTTTTATTTATCACAATTTTCTTTAACCAATTTTGGTATTTAATGCAGGGCCAACAGACAAGTTCCTTACTTTGTCCCCCTTTCATCACCTCTTCCATTTTTGCGGTAATGCTGCAATTAGTTGATTGTAATTTTGAGTAGAGCAGACATTTCCATATATTTTTGTTAGCTGCATAACTCTAACAGTCCTATTTATGATATAATTGACAAATATTATACCATATTATTGTATTTTTATCAATTAGTATATTTGAGTTTAACCATAATATTTGTTCTGTCTTTCTGGTGGATTAAACTGAAATTGCAACCAATTTTCTATGGCTTGTTTTAAAAATAGCGATATTTTGGAGATTATTTCATTTTCAAATAACCGAAAGTGAGAGGTTGTAATCTGAATAAAGAGAAAAAGGCCATTCTTGAACATGGGGTGAGCCATTCTTACTAATCTACTAGAGAACCAGTTCAGATTTAAGTATAACTTTTGTATGACTGAAGCCTTTAGTGAAAGGTCTAATGCTTTAGTATTTAATCATTTATACCCTTCGAATTCATATGAATTATATAAATAGGCCTGTTTAATTTTGTCTGGCTTGCCGTTCCAAATCAAATGGAATATTGTTTGCTCATATATATATATTTTTTTAAAGTCGCTAGGTGTAGGCAAGGCCATAAGCAATAAGTAAACTGGGATATGACTAAAGAGTTAATCAGGGTGATTTTTCCACAAATAGACAGGTATTTTCCTTTCCATGGTAGCAAAATCTTATCTATTTTTGCAACATTTCTATTACATTTACATTTAAGTCATTTAGCAGACGCTCTTATCCAGAGCGACTTACAGTTAGTGAATATATATATTTTTTAATACTCGCCCCCCATGGGAATCGAACCCACAACCCTGGCGTTGCAAACGCCATGCTCTATCAACTGAGCTACATCCCTGCCGGCCATTCCCTCCCCTACCCTGGACGACGCTGGGCCAATTGTGCGCCGCCCATGAGTCTCGCGGTCACGGCCGGCTGCGACAGAGCCTGGATTCGAACCAGGATCTCTAGTGGCACAGTTAGCACTGCGATGCAGTGCCTTAGACCACTGCGCCACTCATTAAAATGTATTGTAGTGATACCATTTATTTATTTTTCGGGATATGAATACTGAGTATGTCCACTTTACCGTCAGACCATTTTATTGGTAAACTACACGGTAATGTAAAAGTTGTATTTTTTAGTGATCCAATACGTAATATAGTACACATCATAATTTGGTTGTAATACAGAGAGGTTAGAAAAATTATCTAGATCCTCTATGAGGCTGTGGAGGGATCCAAATTGTGGATTTAAAAGAAAACATGAATCAGCATACAATGACACCTTTGTTTTTAAGCCCTGGATTTCTAGCCCCTTGATATTATTGTTGGGTCTGATTTTAATAGCTAACATTTTGATGGCCATAATAAATAGACATGCTGATAGTGGACAACCATGTTTTACTCCTCTTGACAGTTTAATACTTTCTGAGAAGTAGCCAATATTTACTATTTTAAACCTAGGGTTACTATACATAACTTTAACCCATTGTATAAGAGATTCTCCAAAATTGAAATAGTCCAGGCATTTATATATACATTCCAGTCGTACTTTATCAAAAGCCTTTTCAAAGTCAGCTATGAATACCAGGCCTGGTTTCCCAGATTTTTCATAGTGCACTATTGTTTCCAGTACTTGTCTTATATTATCTCCAATGTATCGTCCATGTAAAAAACCTGTCTAATTAGGATGAATAATATCCGACAATACCTTTTTAATTCTATGCGCTATGCATTTTGCTAGAATTTTTTGCATCACAGTACTGAAGTGTAATGGGCCTCCAATTTCTTAAATTGGCTGGAACTTTATATTGACCACTTGGGTCCTGTTTCAGTAATAATGAAATCAGACCTGGTTGAGTATCTGATAATCTATCATTTGTATAGAAGTGGTTAAAACATGCTAATAACGGTCCTCTGAGAACATTAAAAAAGGTTATGTACACCTCCACTGGTATGCCATCCAGCCCTGGAGTTTTCCCAGACTTAAATGCTTTAATTGCATCAAGAAGTTCCTCCTCTGTAATTTGGCCTTCACATTAGTCTTTCTGTACAGCTGTTAATTTTACATTATTAATAGAAAGAACATCCTTACAATTAACTTTGGTTAATGGAGACCGAAACTAAAACATATGCTTAAAGTACTTTGCTTCCTCTTTCAAAATATTGTTTGGTGAATCATGGGTGAAAAATTATTATTTTTGGTAGCATTTCTATGTTGAAGATAAAAAAATAATTCCCCATATTCTATGGTACAGTTTTATTGCTATCTGTACTGTTAGTCCCTCTTTTTCCTTTGTTAATATGAATTATTTTGACCTAAATTGCTTTTGTTTCAAAGATGAGTATTGAATTGCATGGCCTCTAAAGGCACATTTAAAGTGTCCCATACAATAAGGGGATCTGCTGTACCTACATTATGTCAGAAAAAGTAAGTTACAAACAAGTTGTCATCCAATAGGCTTTGATGAAATGTCCAAAATCCTCGCCAACGTGGAAATTCTGTAAGGGTAATGTATATGCCAATTATTTGATGGTCCGACCGCATTCTATCCCCTATCAACACTTTAACTTTTGGTGCCAGCGAGAATGACATAAGAAAGTAGTCAAGACGACTAGCTTGATTGAGCCTCCGCCATGTATATCTCACTAGGTCAGGATATTTAAGCCTCCATATATCCACTAGTTCCAATATATCCATGACATTCGTGATTTCCTTATGTGCATAAGGGTGATAGTTTGTAGTGATTTCCTTTACGGTCCATTGAGGTATTTAAAACCGTATTATAATCTTCCACCATAATAAGAGAGTCGTGTATTGCTTGTAGGCTTGATAAATTATGTATTTGATAAATTATGTAATTAATGTATTTTCAAAGAAAAATGTATCATCATTATTTGGACCGTATAGATTAATGAGCCAAATCTGTTTATGGTCCAATAACATATTTAAAATAATCCATCTACCTTGCGGATGTTTGAACAATTTGCACATCCAGATAAAAATAAAAATTGTTAATTAATATCGTCACCCCTTTTGAGTTTCTTTGCCCATTGGAGTTTATTTGCCCCCCCCCCCGTCCTTCTTCCACACAACTTCATCTAAAATTGTTGAATGAGTTTCCTGTAAACAATAGATATTATAGTCCTTCTCTTTTAGCCAGGTAAATACTGATTGTCTTTTATTATTATCTGCTAAGCCATTACAATTATAACTGGCTATGTATGGCTATGAATACTTTTGCAACGCACTGTAGTTTAAATTCAAAATCCAGTGAAAATATGCTCAAAGTCCATCCTAACCCATCCTCCAAATTAATCCTAGTTAAACATTCATCATAGTGGTTTTAATGCACTTTCCAGAGCTATGCTGTACAGTGTACATCCTTTAAGAAAGTCAAACTTGTTAAAAGGGAGAGAAGGAGAGCGGGAGATACAGACACAGACTACATCTGTGTGAGAACCAGATGGATGGGCAGACAGACTACCATCCTCCCTCCATCCTACCCTCCTCCCGTCTACCAGGCTAAAGACAAGACAGAGCAAGAACAAACAGCATGGGACATTAGAGGAAGTGAGAATAGAGAGGGAAAACAGAGGGAGAGAGCGAGATCTCCCTTCTCCTCTCCTCTCTCCTTCGCTCCCACGCTCCTAGATTGCTTAGTTCAAACACAACAACGGCAGACATGAAAAAAAGGAAACCCACCACTTCATCCTCGAAGCCTCCGGCCAGCACCAGCGAATAGGAGCCATCATTACTGCGGCCGTGGATACCTCCCACGTGGGGCCTGTGCACTCCCGCTTCACTCACCTTGGAACACAGGAAGGGAGGAGAATATAGGCAGAGATAGGGAGTGAAGAGGAGAGATAGGGAGATAGAATTAACAGGAGTGGGGGAGAGTCAGGATGGGTGATGTGAGATATGGGAGGGATAGAGAAAGAGGGGAGGAATGTGTGATACAGGCTATGTCAACTTAATCCATGTCAGAATATCACAGTTGATAACTATAAGCCTATAAAGTTAATTGAAAGTAAAAATCTTTTCGGATTCAACATCGTCTTGATTTGAAAATATGACATATTGTTCGAAACATTTTCTCTGTTCTCTCCGAATTTGTGAGAAATCACCTAACTTGTATCACCCTACCTGTTCCTATTGGCTCACCTGAACACGGAACTTCCATGTTGTTCCCACGGGAACCCCAGGTACGGGCCCGTAGTGGTTGGAAGGGACGATGGTACATTCCTTAGTGCGCCCCACACAGGCCATACCCTGTAACATCAGGAGCATGGAATTCAAGGAAAGGACCTATTCATGTATGTTTTAGCTAGCATGTATTCACACGTTGGACCACACACACATTACATAAACAAAGGACTTACTACTAGAAGCTTTAGCTACCATAATACCATAACTCAGACCTGAATAGCATTGTATACATAACAATAATCAATTTTCAGTGCTGGAAATGTTTTTTTATTAAAGCGTTGGACAATTTGATTCATTCTTTAGTCTTTCTTATCTCATAACATTCCCAAACGATAAGACAAATAAAGGAGAAAAAACCAAAACCTCCTTTTAGCACTTTCATGTATATGAATGTATAGAATAGGCTGTTTTCAATTAACATGGGATGCGTTCAAATGGCACCATATTTCCTTTAGGGCACTACTTTTGACCAGAGCCCTATGGACCCTAGTTAAAAGTAGTGCACTAAATAGAGAATAGGGTGTAATTTGGGAAGCATTCATGGTGTATACCGGGAAACAAATGGGGTTATTTTTCCTCTAGTTTGGTTCCTGGAAAAGAACTTTACTCTGCTGAGTCATTTTAAATGGTATTGTTAGCATCGCCTCACAGCTTGAGAGGAGAATTACACACGGCTTAGTCAGAGCAGAAAGGTCTCACTGTGGGCCTGGGCCATGTTCAGTAGGCACCAAACGGAAGAAAACGGGGTCAAAAGTATAGGATTTTGTTCAGTAGAGCTAGGGTTGCAAAATTACGGGGAACTTTCAATAAATTCCCTGAAATCCCAGTTGGAGGATTCCAACCAGGATTTCTGGAAAACAAGGGAATTTATTGAAAGTTCCTGTAATTTTGCAACCCTAATTTGTAGGGCACAACATTGCAAAACATTTTGCAATGGAAAACAAAAATGGAAAAGTCCAGGTGGTCCCTCCCTGTCTGTCCGTTTTCTTCCCATTTGGTCACTACTGTTACCTGCCAATACACTCCTTTAGGAGAACTTAGTGAGGGGATTCAATTAATATGGCCTGGGCAGGCGTGTTTTGCACGGGGTAAAAGTTGATTTAATTAGTTTTGGACACAGGCTGCCTGCCGGGCGTGAGCCAGGTGCCACGTTCAAAGCCCAGGGCGAAGTCAGCTCAAAAACAAAAGTGACGTAATTAAGGAGTAACCCAGGTGATGAGGGTATGCAACAATACACCCGTCCACGCTGACACTCAACACGGGGGCCCCTCAGGGCTGCGTGCTTAGTCCCCTCCTGTACTCCCTGTTCACCCATGACTGCGCGGCCGCGCACGACTCCAACACCATCATAAAGTTTGCCGACAACTCGACGGTGGTAGGCCTAATCACCGACGACAATGAGACAGCCTATAGGGAGGAGGTCTGAGACCTGGCAGTGTGGTGCCAGGACAACAACCTCTCACTCAACGTCAGTAAGACAAAAGAGCTGATTGTGGACTACAGGAAACTGAGGGCCGAGCACGCCCTCATTCACATCGACTGGGCTGCATTGGAGCGGGTCGAGAGCTTCAAGGGCCCCTCAGGAGGCTGAAAAGTTCTACAGCGGCACCATCGAGAGCATCTTGATTGGCTGCATCACCACTTGGTATGGCAACTGCTTGGCATCTGACAGCAAGGCGCTACAGAGGGTAGTGTGTACGGCCCAGTACATTTCTCGGGACGAGCTCCCTGCCCTCCAGGACCTCTATACCAGGCGGTGTCAGAGGAAGGCCCAACATTTTTTCAAAGACTCCAGCTAACCAAGCCACAGACTGTTCTCTCTGCTACCTGACGGCAAGTGGTACCAATGCACCAAGTCTGGAACCAACAGGAGGACCCTGAACAGATTCTACCCCCAAGCCATAAGACTTTTAAACAAGACTGCTAAATAGCTAATCAAATGGCTACCCGGACTACCTGCATTGACCCTTTTTTACACAAGCTCTCTTGCACTGACTATGCACACACAATGGACTCTACCCACACACTCATAAATGCTTACATTGACATCCCAAAACACACACACACACTACATACACCCACACACGCATAAAAGGCACACGCATGCATACTTACGCCACACACACACACTTACCACATACGCTGCTGCTACTGTCTATTATCTATCCTGTTGCCTAGTCACTTTACCCCTACCTACAGTGCCTTCAGAAAGTATTTTGTGTCACTGGCCTACACACAATACCCAATTATGTTGAATTATGTTTTCAGATATTTTTACAAATTCATTAAAAATGAAAAGCTGAAAAGTATTCAACCCCTTTGTTATGCCAAGCCTAAAAGTTCAGGAGTAAAAAAAATTGCTTAACAAGTCACATAAGTAGTTGCATGGACTTACTCTGTTTACAATAATAAAGTCAAAAAAAAATTGAATGACTACCTCATCTCTGTACCCCACACATACAATTATCTGTAAGGTCCCTCAGTCGGGCAGTGAATAAGAACACTGATTCAACCACAAAGATCAGGGAGGTTTTCCAATGCCTCGCAAAGGGCACCAATTGGTAGGAAAACATGCATCCTGTTTGCAATAACTCTGCAAGTAAAACTGCCCAACAAATTGCGAAGAAATGAACTTTATATCCTGAAAACAAAGTGTTACATTTGGAGCAAATCCAACACAACACAACACATCAATGAAAACCACTTCATATTTTCAAGCATGGTGGTGGCTGCATCATCTTATGGGTATGCTTGTCGTCGGCAAGGACTAGGGAGTTTATTAGGATAAAAAGAAACGGAATAGAGCTAAACACAGGCAAAATCAGTCTGCTTTCCAACAGACACTGGTAGACAAATTCACCTTTCAGCAGGACAATAACCTAAAACACAAGGCCAAATATACACTGGAGTTGCTTACTAGTCCTGAGTGGCCTAGTTACAGTTTTGATTTAAAATCAGCTTGAAAATCTATAGTAAGACTTGACAGAGCTTGAAGAATTTAAAAAAGAATAATGTGCAAATATTGTATAATCCAGGTGTGGAAAGCTCGTAAGAGACTTACCCAGAAAGACTCAAAGCTATAATCGCGGCCAAAGGTGATTCTAACATGTCTTGACTCAGGGTTATGAATTAGATAAACTCAGCAAAAAAAGAAACGTCCTCTCACTGTCAACTGCGTTTATTTTCAGCAAACTTAACATGTGTAAATATTTGTATGAACATAACAAGATTCAACAACTGAGACATGAACTGAACAAGTTCCACAGACATGTGACTAACAGAAATGGAATAATGTGTCCCTGAACAAAAGTAACAGTCAGTATCTGGTGTGGCCACCAGCTGCATTAAGTACTGCAGTGCATCTCATCTTCATGGACTGCACCAGATTTGCCAGTTCTTGCTGTGAGATGTTACCCCACTCTTCCACCAAGGCACCTGCAAGTTCCCAGACATTTCTGGGGGGGAATGGCCCTAGCCCTCACCCTCCGATCCAACAGGTCCCAGACGTGCTCAATGGGATTGAGATCCGGGCTCTTCGCTGGCCATGGCAGAACACTGACATTCCTGTCTTGCAGGAAGTCACGCACAGAACGAGCAGTATGGCTGGTGGTATTGTCATGCTGGAGGGTCATGTCAGGATGAGCCTGCAGGAAGGGTACCACATGAGGGAGGAGGATGTCTTCCCTGTAACGCACAGCGTTGAGATTGCCTGCAATGACAACAAGCTCAGTCCAATGATGCTGTGACACACCACCCCAGACCATGACAGGACCCTCCACCTCCGAATCGATCCCGCTCCAGAGTACAGGCCTCGGTGTAACGCTCATTCTTTCGACAATAAATGTGAATCCGACATTCACCCCTGGTGAGACAAAACCTTGACTCGTCAGTGAAGAGCACTTTTTGCCAGTCCTGTCTGGTCCAGCGACAGTGGGTTTGTGCCCATAGGTGACGTTGTTGCCGGTGATGTCTAGTGAGGACCTGCCTTACAACAGGCCTACAAGCCCTCAGTCCAGCCTCTCTCAGCCTATTGCGGACAGTCTGAGCACTGATGGAGGGATTGTGCGTTCGTGGTGTAACTCAGGCAGTTGTTGTTGCCATCCTGTACCTGTCCCACAGGTGTGATGTTCGGATGTACCGATCCTGTGCAGGTGTTGTTACACGTGGTCTGTCACTGCGAGGACGATCAGCTGTCCGTCCTGTCTCCCTGTAGCGCTATCTTAGGCATCTCACAGTACGGACATTGCAATTTATTGCCCTGGCCACATCTGCAGTCCTCATGCCTCCTTGCAGAATGCCTAAGGCACGTTCACGCAGATGAGCAGGGACCCTGGGCATCTTTCTTTTGGTGTTTTTCAGAGTCAGTAGAAAGGCCTTTTTAGTGTTCTAAGTTTTCATAACTGTGACCTTAATTGCCTACCGTCTTGAAGCTGTTAGTGTCTTAACGACCGTTTCACAGGTGCATGTTCATTAATTGTTTATGGTTCAACGAACAAGCATGGGAAACAGTGTTTTAACCCTTTACAATGAAGATCTGAAGTTATTTGGATTTTTACAAATTATCTTTGAAAGACAGGGTCCTGAAAAATGTTAATTTTTTTGCTGAGTTTATTTCTGTATTTCATTTTCAATAAATTTGGTACAAATTATAAAAACATGTTTTCACTGTCATTATGGGGTATTGTGTGTAGATGGGTGAGAAAAACAATATTTAATACATTTTCAATTCAGGCTGTAACATCAAAATGTGGAATTAGTCAAGGGGTATGAATAGTTTCTGAAGGCACTGTATATGTACAGTACATAGCTACCTCAATTACCTCGTACCCCTGCACATCGACTCGGTACTGGTACTCCCTGTATATAGCCATGTTATTTTTAATCATTATTTTTATTCATTATTCACTGTGTATTTAGTCCTTGTGTCACTATTTCAATTATTTATTGTATTTTTTAAAATCTTACCTTTAACTCTGCATTGTTGGAAAAGGACCCAATTTGATTAGATTTGATTTAATGAGAAGGATTCTGTGTTTTCACATGCAAAAGTGATTGCTATTGCTAAAAAGTTGGACGATGCACCATGCTGCTTTGTTGACGACATGACCGAGTGGCGAAGATTACTGTTCGATTTCAGAAGGGGTCTCCTCCCTCACTGCTTTTGCCCGTTCACGTCATGGGCCATAGACCGGTGCCCCGAGGCACAGCATAATCTAATCCACCCAGTCACTCTGCTACAAAGCTGTGAAGGACATCTACTTTGTATTGCTAATACTGTGACTCAACAGGCCGATGGCTCAGTTTACTCAGCTAGCCTGGGCTTCTGTTAGCAGCACAAGGCGCTAGACAATGACGGTGCTGTCTGCCTGCCCATGTGTGTGAGTGTGTGTGGGTGGTGGGTGTGTGTGTCTCGTTCACTCATTCGGCTGCCAAAAACCAAGGGGGTCCTACTTCTGAGTGTCACATAACATGAGTGCAGCATTAACATACGTGCTCCAGTCCAGGTCAAGATATCGCCTCTTTCTTCAGTTAAATATACAATGAGTCAAATTGGAATTGACCCCAACCCCCTGGTGTAACCCTTGTTCTTAGTGTTGTAGACTCTGGCCATGTCCGAATACCCGTACTTGCATTCTAAATAGTAGGCATTTTGGGTATGCAAAAAATTAAAATGTAGTATGCTTTAAATGCCAGGATGTCATACTAATTTCGGCTTTTCATCTAGTAGAATTTGCTGCACACTATTGAGGAATAGAATCGTCTTTCAAGACCGACGTGTATTTGATAACAGCTGATAATCAGCTGAGGGGACACGCCGTACCAAAATGAACAAATGGCATGAATCAACGCAATTGCACATTAGATGAGCCTAGTATGCTGATATTTGTTGTTTACTGCATTCATTTTTACTAAACAGTAATTCCAAAATAATATTTTGATTAGTACACAGTATGCAGTTTAAGTAGGTAGTAGGCAAGCCAGATTTCGGACACAGCCCTCACCTTGCCTCCATCCCTTTGACTCTGTTTGGGCTGAGGGGTTAATGTAGTTAGTGCTGGGTTAGTATTATAGACCCAGTCTGTCTCACCTTGCCCCAGTCTCTCTGACTCTCTGTATGGGCTGATGGCATCTTGGCTTTCTTCTTACTGGCCTTCAGCTTCTCTCCAGCCTTCACAACCTCGCTGGTGTCATTCTTACAGGTGGGACAGTACCTGCCAAGTAAAACCGACAAGAGCCAAAACTCAGTCACTTACTGGAGTAGGTTCACTACCCTCTCATAGCATGATCAACATAGGGAGACAATATAGGGGGCGTGTTGTGTTTGATGGACAGAAGAGAAACTACTACTGGTACTATACTTTTGGTGTCAGTGTCTCTTCTAACTTAGAAACCTTTGATACCCACCATCAAATCTGGCACTAAATAAAAAAGATATATACACAATTCTGAAAACAGATTCATATGGCTAAAGCCATTTCTCAGTCATCACTAACATGCAAAAATGACTAACCGTCACAATGTATGTTTGTTCATTATTAGAATCAATGGATCACGTTTGTACTTGCTCCACCAGCCATTAGTGCACAGGTCTATGGGTCTGTCTCAGTCTACATCCCAAATGACACCCTATTCCCTACATAGAGCACTACTGTACTTTTGACCAGGGCCCATAGTAGTGCACTGTATAGGGAATAGGGTGCCATTTGGGATGCTCCCTACAGTATGTGTGAGTGAGTGTAGCGCCCCCAGATGGTGGGAGTGCATAGCCAAGCTCACCAGTCCTCGTCATCTGGTATAGTGGAGAGCGGTGGGTTGAGGCAGTAGATATGGAAGGCCATGTTACATTCGTCACACAGCAGCTGCATGTGGGCGTCCTGCTTCCCTCCGCACACACAGCACGAGCAGAACCTGCACTCAGAGTCAGGGGTCCGCCTTGCAGTGCTTACACTCCGGCCCGCTCTTCCCTGGATCCATCCCGGCGTGTGTAGAGTACATACACACACAGACACGTGAAAACATACACACCCACCCACAGACAAATACATATGCAAACGATTGGCGCACACACAGGCAAACAAAAACACATTACAAAAACCCATGCACACACACACCCAAACCACAAACACACATACTGATGGCAATAAACCATGTGACATTTTAAATTGTGCAATTTTGCAATGGCCATTTTCGATTGGACATTTTATCATTGAGGCTACTTGATGAAAACAATTCAGAGTGAATTCTCCATAGTACCCCCTTAACCCTATCCTAGCCCTGACTGGCTGGTCTGAAGAGTGCAGTATTGAGGCGTACGTTTGAACTGGCCATCTGCAGCAGACAGTGAGGGTGCTCCAGTCTTCTCTATCTGATAGATCTCATCCAGAAACAACAGCTTACAGTCTGGGATGACGTCTCCTGGTCCTCTGGTGGGGGGAACATAACAGAAGAGAAGACACAGACGAGGTTCACAATACAACCAATAAGTATCCTATAGCCCTTACCCATAGGCTTACATATGATTATATGAAACACTAGTAAAATTAACCTCTTCTTTGCCTTTTCAATGGTGTCGGATCTCCTCTCTAATTCTGCACTTCACACCAGAATATGAAGATTCACAACAATACCTGTAGACATAAATATACCTTTTATATACACTGGGTTTATACACCACAGCTCTAGTCTCTTACCCCAGTAGGATCTTGATGCGGACCTCCTTGTTGGTTCTGGAGATCTCATTGAGCACAGTGATCTCAGCGTCGAACCAGAACCCCCTCTCCTCTGGCATATCGACGTTGTAGTTCACCATGACAACCAGGCCTACCATGAGCTGGTCCCACCGGAGCAGAGTCCGAGCCCGCGGCCTCACGTTACCGCCACACATCGCCACCACGCCGTTCTCAGGGTAACTAGGGAGAGGAGAGAGAATGATCTTCGTCATCATTATAAACATCACATCAAATAACAATTTCACCTAATGAATTCATAATGTAATAAAGTATGATATCCAGGTGTGTAAAACTCCAAACTAGTTATTCTCAAAAGGAATACTGAACTGCTTAGCAGTTTCACTTACAGTTATACCTGTTAGTTATAGATGTGGCAAGCTGAGTAGAAAAACTGCTAGGACAGGTTAAAAAAAGAAAGAGACAGCCAGACAAGTGAAATTGGAATTTCACACACGCAAGCACAAAACCTCAGCGACAAATCAGTATAATATGCACTGTGGACTGGGACTAATGCAACAGGCTTAGAAAGGGTTTCAAAAGTCTGTATCTCCATAAGAACAGACAGCGAGTAAATGAAATGTACTGTCTCTGTATACGTTTCAAATACATCCCATCCCCCGGTCTGGAAAAAAAGGCAACTAAGGTGGCTATATGTGTGACTGTAACTCATCATTCAAAGTCAGGTAGTCCTGAAGAAGGTTTAGAAGGTTAAGAGTTATCCTTCAAAAGAATGTCCGATATACAAAACCAGTAGTGGTGGTCAGCCCTGGAGAGGTTAAACAATAAGGTGATTGACTATTTCAAAGGGACGGTGAATGCTGGAGACTAGCTCACATACCAAGGCCTGCTTTAGGCAATGCTTTCATCACAATCCACCCCACACAAGCATGTACTCTCTGCAGTGTCACAAATCACAGAGCTCTCCTCTCATGCATCACTACATTGAAGCATCAACACAATTTAAGTGACAAGCACACTAGACACATCTTTATCTTTCATAAACTGCTGAGTAGTTTGTGTGATTTTCCATTAATATTCCGAACACATCCATCCTAGAAATGTGACAGTGGTAGTGTCCTATCTGAGGAGGCTGACTGGTTATTTTAACAAATATTTTTTGATGGATGATACAAGATACATCGGGTTCACATACATTAGCATGGGGAAGAGGCTCAGTAGCCGCTGGCTGTCCTGTGAAGCTACTAGCTACAGTCGTACGTCTCCAATTTCTCCTGTCTGTGATCTTCCTTCTAGTGTCCTTCACATTCTCTCTCCTCTCCCTGCATGTGCTCCGTGCACACTCAAGTTCATGTTCCGAATTTGAAATCATGGTTCCACACACACACACACACACCCCCTACCTCTATAGCTCCAGGGCTGACGCCGTACACAGAGGGAGAGATGATGACCAGCATATGGTTCACAACAATATCCTCTACGTGTGTGTGCGTGCGCTTAGGTGCCTGTGTACGTGCATACAGTTGGTGCCTGTGTATGTGCATACAAGAACACAAACACATAGTACTCATGTTTATCCTATAGGCTATCAGTGCATGTGATTATGTATTTTATGAGAATTCATTTTACAATTCAGTTTATCTGTATCAGTAGCTTCTAGGTGTGTAGGTGAGTAGATAGAGTAGTAACACTAGCAAAGAAAGCTTGAGCACAGTGATAGCTCCGAGATGTTGGTGTGCTGGGACACTGTGTGAGGGTAGCAGGCTAGAGGCATGGATTTCCTTTTTTGGGTGGAGGGGATTACAGAGGCCCCGCAAGGGGAGAACAGAACAGAAGTCAGTGCCTAGCACACGGTGGTCCTGTGGCAAAGGAGAGACGGGAACAACACAGTGGAAGAGAGTAGACCCCGGGCCGGTCCCGCCATGGCCACACAGACCCTCATACCATACTGTACTGTACACAGCACCTGGGAAGACCAGGAAACTAGAAGGGGTTCTAGAATGGAATTTAGAATCTGGGTTTTAGAATCTGGAATTTAGAATCTAAAATCTGGAATCTACAATTTAGAATCTGCCAATTAGAATCTAGAATATGGACTCTGGAATTTAGAGTGTTAACTTGGGAGACTATGAAACCATTTGTGATCATCATATGTAGATAACCAAACAGAGCACCTATACTGCATGTAGAGGAGGTATGTGAAAACTAATATTTCTCCTTAGATCAAATGAAGCACCGCCATGGCTGTCAGATAAGCAGCATGGTTTGATAGGGTGTCTGGGATTCAGATGAGGACAGACACACACCAACGCAGAGGAGTCTGGCTGATCTGAGATTAGTGTAATTACTCCATGATGACATCACAGGGGCAAAATGATCACATTCTGTTATTCTCCCTGTTAATTTGTAATAGAAGATTTAAACGGAAACCTTGGGTTTTTTAAAGTTCTGTTTAATCAAATTTAATCAGAAAACAAGAGGGAGGATAAGTAAGTGAAGTGCATGGAGAGGACAGACAGTGGGTGTCTGGAGGAGTAGCTTACTAGTACTGGAGGTGAGTAGGCAATCCTGGAGCTATGAGCTATTCAAACAATAAGGGTTGCTTAGTGTGTTTAAACAGTATTAGTTTATAACTCAATGGAACTGCAGGCCTTTTGATCTCAGTCACCCATCAGCAATTGTGGAATACACTGAATGAAAATACACTGAAATCGACCTCTTACATTTAAGTACCAGGTCTAATTAATACAGCTAAATTACAGAGCAGAAATATGGAGACAGTGGGAGCTTCACTAGTACAGTAACTGCCACAATTGCAAAATAGCATGACCTTTGCAGCGTGCAATAATACATTCCTTCTGGTCTTTTAACCATATAATCTGATAATTGCCTTATTTATAATTGTTATTTCTTTGCTTGGATGGATGTACATGCATCGGTTGTGCCAAATGCTACACCGAAAGCCATGCATCGGTTGGGCCAAAAGCTAGACCCACCATAAGTCAGATATGTTATAATGGAAAAACTGGCCAAAAGAATGCAGAGGATTCTCCATCTTGGAGGCAACGGTTTTGAGCCTCATTCATTAAGATTTCTTAGAGATTAGTCCAAGACTTAGAAGTGAAACAGGTGGTTTCAGTTCTGACAAGCTGTTTTTCTGCCTCAAATTATACAGCAGGCAGGCGAGCCTTGGAAAGCCTTGCCTAACCACAACACACACAAAGGAGAACACAGAGTGAGAGAGCGAGCGAGAGAGAGAAACAAAAGCTGCTTGGCTTGGGGTCATTTGAAATATACGAAAATATTTGAAATATGTTATTTCCCATCATCATACTGAAATATGGCCAATAGCTAGAACAGGGGTGTCAAACTCATTCCATGGAGGGCCGAGTGTCTGCTGGTAGTTGGTTTCTCCTTTCAATTTGTGTCCAATTAAGACCTATACAACCAAGTGAGGGGAGTTCCTAACTAATCAGTCACCTTAATTCATCAATCATGTACAAGGGAGGAGCAAAAACCTGCAGACACTCGGCCTTCGGTGGAATGAGTTTGATACATGTGGGCTAGAGAGATTGGTAGCCACAGCAGTGGTGCAAGTGGTTCACTATGCACCTCACTCGCAATTAGAATGGGGAGGGGGGTTAGCGTAACGCTCCCGAGAACTCCGCGGTTACCATGGAAACGGCTCCTTTGAATTCATTTCCCAGAAAAAGATGACTCCAAATTCTATCTAGCAGCTTCTCCCCACCACCTCTATCCTACTTTCCCTTATAAGCTGCAGGCAGACAGGCAGGCAGAATCAGGGGCTGCGGTTTTAAACTAGCTGCCCCAACCCACCCGCTTTCCTTTCCCTCTGAACCAAAGGGTTGTGGGTTCACACTCCCAACAGGGGGACTTTCACCATCCAGCAGGATGTAGGGTGATTTCTGATTAATTGTGTGAGTAAAGGAACAAAACTAAATGTATATTAATACGTTGCAGATGTTAACTACTTTGCAAAACTGTATATGTTGTCCCAGTTTTGGTTATAAACACCAACTACTGACAATGTTGCTTTCAGCAAGGCCATGGAAGTTATGTAAATATGGTAAAAATGAGATTCAACATCGCAGATTACCAACTGACTTGTCTACTGTATTAAATCTGGTTCTTATGTTATTACTCCAGGTGGCTAGCCATTGTCAAAGAGGGTTATCTGTCTGTCCTAAAACATACATACTCCATCTTAACGCAAAGCTCACTGGTCTACAGACAATTATTTTGGGGGGGGGATGGATATCTGAGACAGGAAATAACTCTGTTGCCTTTTGACCTGCCTTTGAACTCCCTTTGACCTGCCTTTGAACTCCCTTTGACTCACTGGCCAGTGCCCTACCAGGCCAGTAAGGAAAACAGTTAATGCTGCTGTTTCATTACTGCCTGAGCTTTAGTTTCCTGGGTCAAAGGTTACTGAGGGAGTGGCTGGCACTTCTGGTGCGGCACTACATAAAAGGGGTATTATGTTAGATATACCACCACTTATATTGCATGCAATCTCACCTCCTCTGTACTTACTGGTGCGGCACTACATACTGTAAGGGGATACCAAAGCACTTCTACGGCCAAATATATGGCATGTAATGGTATCTCCTAACCTCCCCCTGAACTCCCCAGCAACCCCAGTCTACACAGCTCTGACTCACAGTGAGCTCCAAACGTATTGGGACAGTGACCAATTTTTTGTTGTTTTCGCTCTGTACTCCAGCACTTTGGATTTGAAATGATACATTGACTATTGGGTTAAAGTGCAGACTGTCAGCTTTAATTTGAGGGTATTTTCATCCATATCAGGTGAACCTTTTATAAATTACAGCACTTTTTGTACCTAGTCCCCCCATTTTAGGGGACCAAAAGTATTGGGACAAATTCACTTGTGTATTAAAGTAGTCAAAAGTTTAGTATTTGGTTCCATATTTCTAGCATGCAATGACTACATCAAGCTTGTGACTCTACAAATTTGTTGGATGCATTTTCTGTTTGTTTTGGTTGCGTTTCAGATTATTTTGTGCCCAATAGAAATGAATGGTAAATAATGTAGTGTCATTTTGGAGTCACTTTTATTGTAAATAAGAATAGAATATGTTTCTAAACACTTCTACATTAATGTGGATGCTACCATGATTACGGATAGTCCTGAATGAATTGTGAATAATGACGAGTGAGAAAGTTAGATGCACAAATATCATACCGCCAAGACACGCTAACCTCTTACCATTACAATAATAGGGGAGGTTAGCATTTTGTGGGGGGTATGATATTTGTGCGTCTGTAACTTTCTCAGGATTATCCGTAATCATGTTAGCATCCACATTAATGTAGAAGTGTTTAGAAACACTTATTTACAATAAAAGTGACTCAACATTTATATTGGGCACAAAATAATCTGAATCAACCAAAAGAAACATCAAATGCTTCCAACAAATTTGTAGAGTCACAAGCTTAATGTAGTCATTGCATGCTATGAATATGGTACCAAACACTACACTTAAAATGTGTGTGTGGGGGGGGGCTAAGTACAAAAAAAGTTATGTAATTTCTAAATGGTTCACCCAATATGGATGAAAATACCCTCAAATTAAAGCTGACAGTCTGCACTTTAACCTCAGTCATTGTATCATTTCAAATCCAAAGTGCTGTAGTACAGAGCAAAAACCACAAAAAAGGTGTCACTCTCCCAATACCTTTGGAGCTCACTGTACCTGGTAGGATTCATCACAACATACTGTACTCCTACTTACCAACAAAAAGTAGGTGACCCATTCCAAAACAGTAGGACCTACTGTACCACGCCTTAAAGAAACCAAATGGCAGGGAATTAAGGAAAGCAAACCTGGGTGGGTGAAACTATCAATTGTAGATGACCCCCTCCCCCAAAAAGGGGAAAATAAATCCAAAATAGGGTTCCTAAGTGGGAATACCGACAAGACAAGACATGCTGCCTTTTAACTCAGGTGCACCAACTTACTCGTCATATTTGATATGGTACGTGACGTCCTCCTTCTCTTGGTCTGTGGCTGTAGAGTCTGTTTGAGAGGTGGAGGACCCAGCCCCTGGCCCACTGTCCAAGTTTAACACAGAATAATTATTTCCATTATTATTGTCCGTGGAAGAGGAGGGGTGGCTTTGGCCTTGGCCCGGCTCTGTCTCCAGCTTGCCATTAGTCCTTTTGCTAGGCCTGCCAACCTTCCCCACTGTAGGAGCTTTGCTGTTGCTGTTCTGACCCTTTGGGGTGCATGTCACGTTGTCGATGCAGGCTTCAAACCAGGCACCGATGCTTATGTCTCTGCAGTCCACCAACTCATTTATCTGGGAGATAAGAAAAATAAAATAGTTTAGCTTTTAAATATTCATAAAATAATACACATAATATTATTTTATATAATTTTAAGAGTACATCTGGCTTCAGTATTGATGAAAGCAGGTGTCTGGATAATTAAATGTATTTTGCATCAAAGAAAAATGACAAGACATATGGGACATTTCAAAAAGAAGTTAAGAAATAGACCTCTGTAAGTACTTCTAAAATACCCATAAAAAATGCTTTTACTGTTGTTGACAAACATTTGTTTACATTGCAATACAAAGTAGCTGAAAAAAAACGTCAGTGGAGCACTGGAAGCAACAAAACGAGAAATACTATTTAGTGTGTGCCCCGTGTAGCTCAGTTGGTAGAGCATGGCGCTTGCAATGGCAGGGTTGTGTGTTCGATTCCCACGGGGGGCCAGTATAAAAAAAAAAAAATGTATGCACTGGATAAGAGCGTCTGCTAAATGACTAAAATGTAAAATGTAGTGTGAAATTGTGTTAGCTAAACACCATTAACTAGGCTATAAATGCTCCAACTAGCCTCTGTTTATTTAAAGGCCCAGTACAGTCAAATATATATTTCCACATTATGAGGTTGGAATAATAATTATGATAATGCCCTTTTAGTGTATGAGCTGTTTGAAAAGACCGGGTGAAATGTCTGCCTGTTTTGGTGGGAAATCACCAGGCGGTAAAAATTAGTTAATAGACCAATAAGAAAGAGTTCCAAACCTCTCTGCCAATAACAGCTAGTTTTCAGTTTTCCCCTCCCTACTCAGACCACTCCTAGCAAACTTCCTGCTTGAGAAATGTATCTTTGCTAAGAAGCTATTTTTGTTTCTTTTTGACCATTTGAATTGAAAACAATCACAGAAAGGTACTTACATTTTTACATTTTAGTCATTTAGCAGACGCTCTTATCCAGAGCGACTTACAGTTAGTGCATACATTTTCATACTGGCCCCCCGTGGGAAATGAACCCACAACCCTGGCGTTGCAAGCGCCATGCTCTACCAACTGAGCTACAGGGGACTACTTAATTGTTACCCAGAAATTACTTGACATTGAGATAAAAACGGCTGCATTTGACCTTTTATGGTTGAAGAAGAGCAAAGCACACATAACTGAGACAGGGAGGGGCAAGGCCAAACTCAGGCTGTCTGAGGCCTGGACCTAGCAATGTTTAGATTAGAATGTGTATCATCATGGCTACAGAAATTGAGATTTTCAGAAGCAATGAGCTCTATATCCTTTGTTTAAGATAATGGTTGCAGGTTCAGAGTATTATTGATACCGAGTGCCACTATTTTTTTGTGAGACTTATAGGTTAAGTTTTAAAAGTATTCTCAAACCCAGTAGTTAGTCTGTGGCCCAGTGGATGTCTCTGTCAATTAGCAGTCCTTGTGGACCTGTGGAGATGACACTGCTTTCACTATCTGTCTCCCCTGGAGCTTATGACATAACCACATGAAACAGCAGTCTGAATGAAGCATCAGAATGATTCTCATCCAGATTTAATGTGAGGAACAAACCACGATTCTCCAGACTGTGGGTTTGCGTTTGCGCTCCCCCCCCCCCCCTCTTCCTCCCCCCCCCCCCCCCCCTCTCTTCCTCCCCCCCCCTCTCTCTCTCTCTCCCCCCTCCCTCTCCCCTCTCTCTCGATCTATCTGTCCTCAGTTTGTGTTATGATTCATAACATAGTTAGCTAATAGAGTTAGCCACTCAGGATAATATCACTGTTCTGGAATGTTCATCAGTTCTGGAGAGTTCGTCAGTGAGTGTTTGTGGACAGAGGCTGAGGGGGGAAAGTAGCAACATCATAGTAAGGCAGCCTTTTGGTCAACAGTACAGAATATTTTAGCTTTGGGACACAACATCGGGAGTCTTTGTATTGGTTGGACTCGCTGAGTTGTGCATCTTTCTGGTGGGTGGCGACGGAAAATAACCATACCACAATATAGCCGGCTTCACCAAAAAACTTTTCCTGTCAACGAAAGCATTTGTATAATCTCTAGGAACTCTACTTACCAGACGTAAAGTGAAATGTGTCCCTCGCTATCAAATAAACATCTGAATCCAACGTTTGTCCAAATCGCACCATATTCCTGCAGTGTAAACAGTGGTAGATTTAGTTTTTTTGGTGAAGCCAGCTATATTATGGTATGGTTATTTTCCGTCGCCACCCACCAGAACGATTTACAACTCAGGGAGTCCAGCCAATACACAGACTCCAGATGTTTTGTCCCAAAGCTAAGAATCTATCAGAGTGCATACATTTTTGGTACGTGTATGTGTGATCCCTGCATAAATTTAACCCACACCTGAGTCACACAGGGCCAGTCATCTCCTTGATGGTAGATGGCTAGCACTAGCTTTTCATTGAGCCAAGAGACTGTTACTGTCCATGTTCCAGCAAATATCATTTACTGCCACTGTGGTTCACTAGCAGCAGGCCAGCATGCCTTTTCTCAGGGCTAAGCTCTGCGTATAGTGTGTCTCTTGGCTTGGGTCTGCTTGGCATCCTTAGCCCCAGCTCCCCTGCAGCTTGGCTATGGTGTTAACTGTTAAGTGGATGTCTATCAAAACGTGTCAGCCTTGCCACTTACTGTAACTGAGAATAAAAAAAGAAATACATTCCTAGCAACCATTTGTTGCATTGCAATAAAGTTTTCCAATTCAAATGTCTGATTCATTAGGGAGATGAAATGTGTAGCAAAATGGTTACCATGAGGTGAAAGTTCAGAGCTCCAGTTCAGACATAATTCAACAGGGAAATGTACATAAAGGGTCCGTATTCAAAACTCTTCTCAGAGTAGGAGTGCTGACGTAGGAACAAGTCCCCCCTGTCCATATCGTATTCATTATGATCGAAAAGGCTAAACTGATCCTATATCAGCACTCTTACTCCGAGATGCTTTGTGAATACGGGCCCAGAAGAATAACAACCTCCACTGAATGTCTGTTAGCATCACCCTGGAGTAGAGACACCGGATCAGGTCTGCCATGCATGTTACAGAGCGTTTCCCTGACGACTGACACTAAAAGGAGATGTCACCTCCAGTGAGGGATCTGACCAGGGTGATAGGGAGAAGAGAGGTGAAGGGTAACATGACAGTGCCAGACACACATACACACAAAAAACACAACACAAGATAGCCAGCCAGCCAGAAAGCCAGCCAGCCAGACAAGGCCAGACTGGCACCCACACCACTGGACCTACTACAGTAGCGAAACACTCCAGAGCCCTTTGTCTGTATCCACTGGTCACTATTGCGATTGAACACAGAATGCTGAGGGAGTGAGAGGCAGATGCCAATTCAAACTTGTTTGTTTGCATGTGGGTCCTAAAACCACAACAATGCAAAGAAGAGGTAGTGTGCCAGTGCCATCAAGGAAACGAATGACGAAACAAACATCAGTATCTCCTAAATTGTGAAACTAACCAAGCTGGAGTAGAGGACAGAAAGTAGGGTTTTGAAACCTTTCAAGACACAAGTATACTTTGGGGAGAGCTGTATCCTTAGGGGTCGCTTAGCTGGTTCATATCCTGCTCAAAGGACCATTATTGAATGAACGTAATATAATATTTTAATATTCTATATTATATTATCTCACAGCCTTTCATACACAACCCACAACAAATGATCCAACATGAGAGAAAATGGTACCACACACCAGCAAGTTCTTTCTCTCACCTTGAACACCCCAATGCCGGGGTCTATGAGGAAGAGATGTGTAGAGGTTGATGGCTGGTTGTCGAGCTTCTCCAGGGGTGCAGGTGGACTAGAAGACTTGGCCTTGTTGTTATTGGGATCACTGGTGTTACTGGTTTTGGTACTGGTTGTACTGGTGTTGGTGGTGGTTGTGTTGTTGTTGTTGTTGACTGTGGTGAGGGTAGGGATGGGTTTGGGGTCCACTGTGGTAGGCTTGGCTGGGGAGGGGGTGGTAGCTGCACCAGCCGTGGTGTTGGGGGTGGTGGGGGGCAGAGCTGTACTACTGGGCATGGCGTCACACTCCTTAGGGGTGACAGGGGGTGCGTTGGGCAGGACGAGGGGGTTGTCGGGAGCATCCCCTGCCTGAGAACGGATTAGCAGCTGGACGATGTCGTTCAGCCCCACGTTGTAGTCATACAGTGTGTGGCCATCTTCCATCTGAAAAATATTGACACGCAAATTGATCTGTTAGTTAGGCAAACATTTTTTCTCTGTTTTTCTTGAGGTGGGTAAAACAGCTGTGTGATAGTCAAACAGCGTATGGCCATCTTGAGTCTGAAAAATAACACACACACACACACACACTGATCTGTTAGGCAGCCATTTTGGTCTATTTTTCTTTCTCTTCTCAGGCACTGGCAGACATCTGCGCAATATTAAATGAACAGCATAGCGTCGCCGTCGGAAGCGTATATCAAGCCGGAGCTGGTTGTCAAGGGCAAACAAAGAGCTCGGCAAAAATACAGAATTCCACGGCTCTTCAAAAGGGTTCTGAATAAAAGCTATGAGACCTGAACAAAGAAAATCTACATTACTACACCTCCAGGCCAAATCAGTGTCTCTGCACCACCTGTCCTGTACCAGCCAGGTTTCTTTCTATTCTGTCCATGGGCCAAATGTCCTAGTTGTTATGACACTTGGCTAAGGCTATCCCTTTACAATGCTACCTAATTATGATTCAACATTCCATGGTATGACAGTTTACCAGAGGGAATCGTTTTACACTGGGGGCAGCACCTCTCATAATGAAATAACATGAAATAGGCTAATGTATCTTTGTTGTGATAACAAGAACAATAACCTCCCAATAAGAGATAACATAATAGTGAATCTGGGAATAGCCTATGCTGTAGACTGAGAAAAAAAAATAAACATCCATTCCTGAAGTCAGTGGAACAAATGGACACAAATCTCTGCCTTCCACCGCGTTTTTCCTCAAATAAATAAATAAAATAATACATCTGAGAGGGGACACACACACACTACGTAAGTCGCTATGGCAACCAATAAATAAGCCCCCCCCCCCCCACCACCCCTCCATACTCTCAATATCGACAAACTCTCCCCCTCACCCACAATCTCGTTCTCTTTCTTTGCCCCCCTCTTTCAGATGGTGGTGTTGCGCATTTCGCAGTCATTGGTTTGTGTCAGAAAATGGCTCCACTTCTGAGAGCGAGAGACTCCTCACATAAAGAAACATTGTGTCTCTGGATGCCTCATTACTTGCTATTTGTGTTTAAGTTACTGTATCTCTTATTATAAGCTACTTCCATGAAAATGTTATGGTATAATGGTAAGCAAACTAGTTGTGTACCAATGGATCTATGTAGCTTCGTCTCATCAGAGCAGAAGCGAGCGAGGTAGCCAGCGACCAGACCATTTCCCATCCTCCATTGTGTTGGAGAAATAAGCATGGCCACTCGCTCCTCTCCTCCGTTACTTATTGAGGCAGGAAAGGAGAAATGAGAGAGGAGAGGAGCTCCAGACTGGCTTATGACAGAGAGCGCAATCTCACCTCCTCTAGTCTCCCTTATTTAATAGTCTCATGAAATTTTGATCAGAGCAGCCGCCTTTGCTCGCCACAAACACTATGGTCACCTGTCCGTATGTGTGTGTGTCTGTCTGTTTGCCTGCCGTGTGGAGTAAACAGCATAGCATAGAAATATAATTACTACCCATCACAGAACATTGACTTGAATGGGAATGTCTGTTCTAGTAATTATATTTATATGGTGGACTAGACACCATCATGGAGAAAGGGACACCAGGCAGGCTGCGGCACACTGACTAGAATTAATCTATTGTGTCATGAAAAGGCAATTTTTTGTCATGCATGGTATTTGATGGGGAATATTTGATCTATTACGCGCATTTGCTTACATTATTAAAAACTATGGAGGCCTTGACAGCAGAAAGTTCTCAGAAACCTGCAACCACATTTGCCACATTGTCTTTAGACATGTCTCGTTTTATTGTCTGACACCTCACCCCCTGATACTGAGTTTGTAGGAAGACAGGATTAGGAAGAATACTTTGTTGTTGCTAGGGCAAGTTCAGGGTCAGGGGTAAACATCACGCTATGGGAAGGGAGTGCTAGTATAAAAAGCAGAGATTGTTTTAGACACTTTGCAGAACTTTTGAAGAGCTACATTTAGCTGTTGTCTCTGTATTAACTTCTGTCTGCAATTGCATTACTAAAGGTTTTTACATATATTTGGAAGTCGTTGTCTGTGTCATTTTCTTATCTAAAGTCAGCACTGTGCAAAGAATCATCAACATTTTGGCGAGCTTGCCAGGAGTGAGTGACCACCCGCGGTTGGAGTGAGCGTCGACCCACTATGCCGCGCAACTAATTACTTAAAAGGTAAGCAGACACCTGTTATATCTAAAGTCTGTAATTTGAACAAAACACTGTGGTTGATTACTCATTCTGACACGTAAGTGGCACCTCACTCACAGTATGCTGTTCATTTAAGAGACGAAACCTACATTGTGGTATATATTGATTTATTACTGAATTATTAATTGCCAAACCTGTTGGAAACTGACACAGACCACCTAGGTGATAGTTAGAAATTCCTAGGTGTGAATATGTATATGTTGACTTGGTGATAGGATTTAGGGCAAATCCAAGTATAAAGCCAATGGTTATATGATTGAAGGCCTGTAATTGTGTACTCCGGAGTGATAGGATAGTAAATGAGAAGTTTGTCCTGGTTATTGATTGTGGGACAGTAAACGAGAAGTTTGTCCCTGTGTAATACTTATTGAATGTATTGTGTTAACCTTTAACATGACTATTGATTAATGGCTGGATGGTGGGCTGAAAACTCTGGGTTATCTAGACACCTGTTTGAAGAAAGGGTGTTTTCATTTGTAGAGTGGACTTTTAGTAACAACGGACACCAGGCTAAATGTGCCGCATTAGATCTTGATCTATATGCTAACGCGGTCATTGAAACTAACGACTTTAGGTATAGATTGTCCTTGTCTGTGTTGAGTGGAACCTCTTTTGAAACTGTTTTGGGACCATTTCCAAATGAGAATTTGCCTGAAGAAGTTAGAATAATAATTCAGACTAAACCTATTACTTCCACAGGGAACCTATTACTTCCCCAGTCCCTGTGTTTGTTGAGCCTTTTACCTTAGCCTGGCTGGCTAACGGCTGTAATTCTGTTAAATTATCTGTTCACTTAGACTGCATTCAGTTTCAAGTAATTTACCACCTTGTTTGTATGGGGATGGTGAGACATAAAACATTATACTGGTGTGTACACCATATTTCCACCTCACTGTTTTCTTACCCCAAACTATTAATAGAGGTAGTAGTAGGTTGATAGCGTTAGGCACCCACTGATATAGTAAATACATTTGCATTTTAGCCCACATTACACGTAGGACGACCCCAATACAAACTAGCAATCATGGCAGACAACTCAACAGTGAAGCCTGTTACCCCTGTTGAGTATTTAACCCAACAATATCCAGCCCTCCAGAGAGATATCATATGGATATTTAAGAAATGGCATGAATGGACAATTAGTCACCACTTACACACATTGCAATGGATTTTATTGATATGACTGAAAGAAAGGAGAGAAACCGTTATTGTTTAGTAATAATTGACCGATTCACAAGATGGGTAGAGGCTACTACCCACTGTGATGCTAAAACAGTAGCTAAAATTCTGGTAAGGGAAATATTCCCTAGATTCAGAATCCCAGAAACCTTGTCTGCAGACAATGGCACCCATTTCACTGGAGATGTCATAGCCCAAATTGTCCTTATGCTGGGGATAGATCAGAAATGTGTCTGTATCTATCACCCACAAAGCAATGGGGTTACTGAAAGAGCCAACCAGACCCTCAAAGGAGGACTGGCAAAGGCCTGCCACTCGACAGGTAAAACCTGGGTAGAGTGCGTATCTCTGGTGCTGATGAAAATGCGAAGCAGCCCCAACAGAGGCACTGGGTATAGCCCTCATGAGATGTTAACAGGCCGTCCCATGAATGTCCCATCTCATAGGCCCATGACTGACAGACTGACCTGACTAGACTGGAAGATGACCTGTTAGGATAATTGAAGGAACTAACCTCTACTGTCAGGTCTCTATTCTCACTCTAGGAAAGCCCAGGAGGTGCCAGACAGAGAGGACAGAGACAAAATCCCTATCCAAATCGGTGACTGGGTGAAACTAGCGAAAATGGAATCAGCCAAAATGGATGGGACCATACCAAGTGATTCAGGCAACCCCGACGGCTGTCAGGGTAACCGAGAGACATGGATGGCATCACCTGTCCCACTGCCAGAAGATGGAGAACCATCCGCCAAAAGAGTGAAAGGAGACCAGAACCGGCAATCTGATCTAGACCTCGCGATCCTATATGACCACCACGGAAACAGAATGAGAAAATACCGTGAGCCACCCCCACTGGGCCATGAATGTGCTGTGTTATTTTTTATAATCTGTACTCTGCTTGCTTCCTCAGTATCGGGGGTGGAGATACAGAACAACCAGATGAAGTCAATCAATACCTGGGTTAATATACTGTAGGGCCTGGGTAGGAGGGCAACACCAAATGGGTCCAGAATAATGATGTTCCCAAAACCTTCTTCAGCGGGTGAGCTATTTGGTACTATGGGAAAACCTCTATCAGAGGACGATATTACATGTGGATATCTCCACTTTATGCGACAAGATAAAGTTAACAAAGGACAAGGCATATTTTTATATATTGCCACTGATACAGATAGAGAGTCTCCCTAGGATAGTTGCTCCGTTACTAACAATGTACAAGTCCCACGCATTAAAGCTGATAACAAAACTAGGTATGAGGAATCTAAATTTCGGCCAACCAGGGGAAATGGGAGGGGTAAGACAGCAGCCACATATACAGTCTCTCAGACAGCAGAGTGCCCTTACCCCCCAAAACACCAAAATGGGCCACTCATTTGGGTAGAGGGACTATAGAACCTGTGGTGACGGGGATAGTACCAGCACATAGTCCACCACTATGCATCTGTAACCAAGGGAATGTCCCTATAGGAAAGTCACATAATTGTTTAAACTATGCAGGACTCCCAGATGAGACAATCAGACACAAAATGACTGAGTGGCATATCTTACAATTTGGTCAGCAGATTACTGGCATTAATAT